GTGTGTGTGTGTGTGTGAGTGTGAGTGTGAGTGTATGTGTGTGTGAGAGTGTGTGTATGTGTGTGTGTGTGAGTGTGTGTGTGTGTGTGTGTGTGAGTGTGTGAGTGTATGTGTGTGTGAGAGTGTGTGTATGTGTGTGTGCCCAGCCGCTGCGGGGTGTGTGTGTGTGTGTGTGTGTGTGTGAGAGAGAGAGAGTGTGTGTGTGTGTGTGTGTGTGTGTGAGAGTGTGTATGTGTGTGTGAGTGTGTGTATGTGTGTGTGTGTGAGTGTGTGTATGTGTGTGTGAGAGTGTGTGTATGTGTGTGTGCCCAGCCCCTGCGGGGTGTGTGTGTGTGTGTGTGTGTGTGTGTGAGAGAGAGTGTGTGTGTGTGTGTGTGTGTGTGAGAGTGTGTATGTGTGTGTGTGTGTGTGTGTGAGTGTGTGTATGTGTGTGTGCGAGAGTGTGTGTATGTGTGTGTGCCCGGCCGCTGCGGGGTGTGTGTGTGTGTGTGTGTGTGTGAGTGTGAGTGTATGTGTGTGTGAGAGTGTGTGTGTGTGTGTGTGTGTGAGTGTGTGTGTGTATGTGTGTGTGCCCGGCCGCTGCGGGGGGTGTGTGTGTGTGTGTGTGAGTGTGAGTGTATGTGTGTGTGTGTGTGTGTGTGCCCAGCCGCTGCGGGGTGTGTGTGTGTGTGTGTGTGAGTCCTAAGATGGGCAGTGGTTCACCTCACCGCCCAGCCCCCCACTGAGACTACAGCACCCGTTCCCTCCAGCAGGGCGGGGGCGCTGACCGAGGCCCCAAGGACGGCCCCGGGTTCTGGCCCCCCTTCGCCTTGGGTTTCCAGCCCTGCGGCAGGTGCGCTAGCTGCCTGGGCTGGCCCGGCCTGCAGACACTCCGCTCATCCAGGTGACAGGCTGAGGCCGGGCACCCTGTGCCCGGGGCACCCCACTGGCCGGCCAAGCAGGGCCGGGCCCAGCGCTGTGGGCGGGTGTGCGGGACCTGAGCCTTCTCTTCGCACTTGGTCACCTTGTTTGCACCTGTCGCCCCGTCCCACCCCCACCACACATCTGTGCCTGCACTTAATTTTTACCCAGTGCTCGTTAAGTTTTCTTTTATGCTCCCGCTGTGGCCTTCGGGTGGGAGGGAGGTGGTGAGGGGAGGGGTATATCCTCGCTGTGCGCATGCCTGTCCTTCTGGGCTCACGCCTGTCCTGGGCACACGCCTGTCCTTCTGGGCTCACGCCTGTCCTTCTGGGCTCACGCCTGTCCTTCTGGGCTCACGCCTGTCCTGTACGCACGCCTGTCCTGCTGGGCACATGCCTATCCTGTGCACACACCTGACCTTCTGTGCTCACGCCTGTCCTGGGCGCACGCCTGTCCTGTACGCACGCCTGTCCTGCTGGGCACATGCCTGTCCTGTGCACACACCTGACCTTCTGGGCACAAGCCTGTCCTGCTGGGCTCATGCCTGTCCCATGCGCACGCCTGTCCTGTGCGCACACCTGTCCTTCTGGGCTCACGCCTGTCCTTCTGTGCACACACCTGTCCTTCTGGGCTCACGCCTATCCTTCTGGGCACACGCCTGTCCTTCTGGGCTCACGCCTGTCCTGGGCACACGTCTGTCCTTCTGTGCACACGCCTGTTCTTCTGGGCTTACGCCTGTCTTTCTGGGCGCACGCCTGTCCTGTGCACACGCCTGTCCTTCTGGGCGCACGCCTGTCCTTCTGTGCACACACCTGTCCTTCTGGGCTCACGCCTGTCCTTCTGGGCTCACGCCTGTCCTTCTGGGCACAGGCCTGTCCTTCTGGGCTCACGCCTGTCCTGGGCACACGTCTGTCCTTCTGGGCTCACGCCTGTCCTGAGCACACGCCTGTCCTTCTGGGCGCACGCCTGTCCTGTGCACACGCCTGTCCTTCTGGGCGCACGCCTGTCCTGTGCACACGCCTGTCCTTCTGGACACATGCCTGTCCCATGCGCACGCCTGTCCTTCTGTGCGCACGCCTGCCCTTCTGGGCTCACGCCTGTCCTTCTGGACTCACGCCTGTCCTTCTGGACACATGCCTGTCCCATGCGCACGCCTGTCCTGTGCGCACACCTGTCCTGGGCCCACGCCTGTCCTGTGTGCACGCCTGTCCTTCTGGGCTCACGCCTGTCCTGTACGCACGCCTGTCCTGCTGGGCACATGCCTGTCCTGTGCACACACCTGACCTTCTGGGCACAAGCCTGTCCTGCTGGGCTCACGCCTGTCCCATGCGCACGCCTGTCCTTCTGGGCACACGCCTGTCCTTCTGTGCACACACCTGTCCTTCTGGGCTCACGCCTGTCCTGTGCACACGTCTGTTCTTCTGGGCTTACGCCTGTCCTTCTGGGCTCACGCCTGTCCTTCTGTGCACACGCCTGTTCTTCTGGACTCATGCCTGTCCTTCTGGACACATGCCTGTCCCATGTGCACGCCTGTCCTTCTGGGCTCACGCCTGTCCTTTTGTGCACACGCCTGTCCTTCTGGGCTCACGCCTGTCCTTCTGGGCGCATGCCTGTCCTTCTGGGCGCATGCCTGCCCTGCTGGGCCCAGAGTGGGAAGCGGCCCCTGCACAGAGGGGTGAGCGAGGGGCAGCCAGGAGGAGCAGGAGGCTGTGCGTGTGGGTGGGCTTTGCAGGTCAGGCCCAGCTCTGCCTGATGGGGTGCTGTGAGGGGTGGGGAGAGAGGACCTGGGAGCACCCCTGCCAGCCACACTGCTCAAGCTGAAATGAGGGCTGTGCTAGACACTCCCCCACCCCCCCAGCTCCCCTGGGTCTGTCATGTGCTAGTCACCCCCTCTCCCTTTCAGCCCTTCCTCCTCCCTCTCCGCCCACCCGCTCAGCCCTCCGGCCTGAACGCCACACCTGCCCCCGAGGACCGTCTTCTGGCTCCAGTTAGTGCCAGGGGACCCTTTCAAACATGACTGAGGCAGAGGCACCACTGAGGACAGGGAAGAGATGTGCTTGTCACGGGTGGGGGTGGAGGGAGGGGGCGGGGAGGGTTTTAGGGCCCTGAGATTAGGACGGAGAGAGGGGTCATTCGACATCTTTCCAAACCCGCAGGGTGCCATCACCAAGGGTGACCCAGGCACACCGAGGGCTCCCATTGGCCGGCACAGTGCCCCGGTCTGGGCAGAGGCCCATCCCGCTGGCTGTGTGTGGGGCAGGATGGGAAGTTTCTGCACCTCCCCCAATTTTGCTGTGAGCCTGAAACTGCTGTTAAAAAAAAAAAAAAAAAAAGAGTCTTAAAAACAAGGAAACCCAGCCCTGGCCGGTTTGGCTCAGTGGATTGAGCATCAGCTCACAGACTGAAGGGTCCCGGATTTGACTCCAGTCAAAGGCATTACCTGGGTTGCAGGCTCGATCCTGGCCCTGGCTGGTGCATGCAGAAGGCCACCAATCGACGTCTCTCTCATATCAGTGTTTCTCTCTCCCACTCTCTCTAAAGATCGATGGGAAAATGTGCTCAGGTGAGGATTAACAACAAAAAAACAAGCAAACAAAAAGTCATGGCACTGCTCTTCCTGGGTCCCTGATGGGCCCCCCTTTTCCTCCTGTCCGGGTCCCTCCTCACTGCGGTCGCCGGCCCCATGTGACCTCATCTCTCACGCCCACAGCCGGTTCTGCCTCAGGACGGCACCTGCTGTCCCCCTGTCCCCTGTGCACTCCGATTGCTGATCCCATCACATGGGGTCCTGGACGCTACCTAAGGCCTGCTCCCGCCTGACCCTGGCTCCCGTCACACCCCTCCCAGCACGTCCCATTTGTTTAGTTGCCTGGAGATGCCCGTTTTCTCTCCAAACAGGAGCCCTGAGGGCAGTGGGCCTTTGGGATGTGTGCAGGGAGGGGAGGCTGCCTTCCCTGTTCCTGTCTGCCCAGATTGCCCCCTGGAGTGTGGGAGAGGAGCCAGGGCGCTGGCCTCCAGGGGGCAGAAGAGAGCAGGTCCCGTTGACCATTGTCCCCCAGCCCCTGGTCCAGGCCAGCTGTCTGCAGGATGCTGATTCTCCCTGCTCCAGCCTGTTGCATCATGCTCAGATTTGTCTGCCTGCGCGCCCCTGAGCCCCTGGCTGCTCAGAGCCCTGGATGGCTTTGGGTTGGGGATTCCAGGACAGGCATTAATGTAGAGCGCTCCTGGGAAGGCACATGAGTGTTTCTCTAATTGTCGGCTGAAGCCAGCGGCATTGGCAGAGCTGCATCCTGGAAACACACCTTGCCAGGTGGCAGAGGCAGGTGTGTGGTCAGTCTGACCTTCAGCCCAGGTGCCTGGGAGTGGGTTTCATTATCTAAATCCAGGCAAGCCTAAACCGGTGTGGCTCAGTGGATAGAGCGTCGGCCTGCGGACTGAAGGGTCCCGGTTTCGATTCCGGTCAAGGGCATGTACCTTGGTTGCGGGCATATCCCCAGTAGAGGGTGTGCAAGAGGCAGCTGATCGATGACTCTCATCCATGTTTCTAACTCTATCCCTCTCTCTCCTCTCTGTAAAAAATCAATAAAATATATTTAAAAAAATAAAAACAAATCTAGCCAAGCACGAGGAACAAATACAACTACCCCCCCCTCAAACCCCCCCCAGAAGTAACGATTGCAAAGAACCCACAAGAATGCACATAATCTCCTTTGGGCTTTAGTAAAACCTCCTGGTATTTTTCTGAATAAAATAAACGCGCTGTATCAGCTCTGGGTCTCTGTCTCTCCATCAGAGGACACTGTCCCACCCGGCCCCAGCTTTTCCCTTCCATCTCTGTGTCTGTCTCTTTCCTTTTCTCAATCCCCAGCAGCCCCTGCTCAGGAGCCGGACCGCTCTCTAGCCGTGCTGGATGTGGAAAAGAGAGAACTTTTTACACTAGTCCTTACCAGGCGGTGAGGCATAGCTTCCGTAGCTGGTGTTTTTCCAAGGGGAGGGGCCTGGAGCTGAATCCCGTGTCCACCCGTGGACTCTCCCTGTGTCTGGCCTGGGTTCCAGCCCTGGGTTGCCTCTTCCTGCCTGACGTCCATGTCCTTCTTCAGGAGGTCGGCTGGGCAGGACCTGAGCTACAACTTCACGCTCCTGGATGGGTTCCTGGACCTGCTCCGGGAGAACCAGCTCCGCCCGGGTGAGTGGCTGGCCCGGCCTCTGCCCCTGGGCGCTCTCCCTGGCCTGGCCCCTCTGTCCTGGCTGGTCACCCCCCAGGACTGGCCTTGGCACGACATGGTGGGCCATCCTGGGAAGCATGGGGCTGTGTGGGAGGCGGGCAGCAGCACAGGCGGCCTTCTGGGTTGCAGGCTTCGAGCTGATGGGCAGCCCCTCTGGGCACTTCACCGACTTTGAAGACAAGCAGCAGGTGTTTGAGTGGAAGGAACTGGTCTCCCTCCTGGCCAGGAGGTACATCGGTGGGTGAGGAAGCGGGGACGGGGGGTGGGGAGGGGGTCCTGGGCTGGCTGTGCTCATGCACCTCTGCAGCCTCCTCCCAATCTGTCATGAACTTTTATTTTTTTATTTTTAAATATATATATATTTTATGGATTTTTACAGAGAGGAAGGGAGAGGGATAGAGAGTTAGAAACATCGATGAGAGAGAGATCGATCAGCAGGCTCCTGCACACACACACACACACCCCGCTGGGGGATGTGCCCACAACTGAAGTACATGCCCTTGATCGGAATCGAACCTGGGACCCTTCAGTCCGCAGGCCAGCGTTCTATCCACTGAGCAAAACCGGTTTTGGCTCTGTCGTGAACTTTTAAGAACTATATATTTTTACTGATTTCAGAGAGGAAAGGAGAGAGAGGGAAACATTAATGATGAGAGAGTGTCATGGGTCAGCTGCCTCCTGCACGCCCCACTCTGGGGATTGAGCCTGTAACCCGGGCCTGTGCTTGGACAAGGAATTGAACTGTGACCTCCTGGTTCATAGGCTGATGCTCCACCGCTGAGCCATACCGGGGAGGGAGGTCAGGATGGTGGGCGGGGCAGACTCGCAGGCGTCAGACAGCTCGACACCCACACCCCCGACCCGGGGCAGTCCTGCTCCAGGGGAGGGGCCCGCACGCCACCCCACGGACACTCTGCAGACAGGTACGGCCTGGAGCAGGTGTCCAAGTGGAACTTCGAAACGTGGAATGAGCCGGACCACAAGGACTTCGATAATGTGTCCATGACTTTGCAAGGTGGGTGGTGCCTCCGGGAGGGGTGTGTGAGTGTGTGTGTGTGTGTGTGTGTGTGTGGCGGGGCTCCGGGCTGTAGGCTGAAGGGACCGGGCCTCTGGGACCTGCGTGTAAGGGGCGGGGCTCTGGGGGAGGGGGCTGTGCCTCCGGGACCTCTGTGCGGAGGGGCGAGGCCTCTGGACCTGTGGGGGCGGGGCTCCGGGTGGAGGGGCGGCTCTGGGCGGGGCGGGGCCTCCGGACCACTGTGGGTGAAGGGGCGGGGCTCCGGGACCTGTGTGTGTGTGTGTGTGTGTGTGTGTGTGTGTGTGTGTGTGTGTGTGTAGGGGCCGGGGCCCCGGGACTGCATGCTGGGGGCGGGGCCTCCGGAACTCTGTGGGTGAAGGGGCGGGGCTCCGGACTGGGGGCGGGGCCTCCGGACCTCTGTGGGTGAAGGGGCGGGGCTCCGGGACCTGTGTGTGTGTGTGTGTGTGTGTGTGTGTGTGTGTGTGTGTGTGTGTAGGGGCCGGGGCCCCGGGACTGCATGCTGGGGGCGGGGCCTCCGGAACTCTGTAGGGGCGGGGCCTCTGGACCTGTGGGGCGGGGCTCCGGGCTGAGGACACGCCCCCGGGCCTCGCCTCCAGGCTTCTTCAATTACTACGACGCCTGCTCGGAGGGGCTGCGGGCGGCCAGCCCGGCGCTGCGCCTGGGCGGCCCCGGGGACGCCTTCCGGCCGCCGCCGCGCTCCCCGCTGAGCTGGGGGCTGCTGGCGCACTGCCAGCGCGGCGCCAACTTCTTCACGGGCGAGCGCGGCGTGCGGCTGGACTTCATCGCGCTGCACCGCAAGGTACGGGCGGGCCTGCGCCGCGGGGCCCCGGGCGGCGCCGGCCCCGGTGGACGCCCGGCCGCGCTGAGACCCGGCTGCCACGCAGGGCGCGGGCAGCTCCATCTTCATCCTGGAGCAGGAGAGGGAGGTGGTGCGGCAGATACAGCGGCTGTTCCCGGGGTTCGCCGACACCCCCATCTACAACGACGAGGCCGACCCGCTGGTGGGCTGGGCGCTGCCGCAGGCGTGGCGGGCGGACGTGACCTACGCGGCGCTGGTGGTGAAGGTGGGCGGCGGGCGGGCCCCTCCGCGGCGGGGGCGGGGGGCCCAGGTCCCGGTGCCCGGTGCCAGCGCCCGGTGCCCGGTGCCAGCGCCCGGTCGGTGCCGCAGGTGGTCGCGCAGCACCAGGACCTGCCGCTGGCCCCCGGCGCCGCCCGCCTCGCGCTGCTGAGCAACGACAACGCCTTCCTGAGCTTCCACCCGCACCCCTTCGCGCAGCGCACGCTCACCGCGCGCTTCCAGGTCAACAACACGCGCCCGCCGCACGTGCAGCTGCTGCGCAAGCCGGTGCTCACGGCCATGGCGCTGCTGGCGCTGCTGGGTGAGCCCGGTTCGGTCCGCCCGGCGGGGCCGCTGCGGGGCGGGCGCCGCCCGGGCTGGCGGGACTCATTCAGCCCAGAGGCGGGAGCCGGGGATGTGCCTGCGGGTGGGCCAGAGGCTGCGGTGTGTCTGGGACCCCTGGCGGGGCCCGGTGGAGGGACAGGGTGCGGGGCCCGGCGGAGGGGACAGGGTGCGGGGGCCCCGGTGGAGGGAGAGGGTGCGGGGGCCCCGGTGGAGGGATAGGGTGAGGGGCCTGGCGGAGGGGACAGGGTGCGGGAGCCCCGGTGGAGGGACAGGGTGCGGGGGCCCCGGTGGAGAGATAGGGTGAGGGGCCCGGCGGAGGGGACAGGGTGCGGGGCCCGGCGGAGGGGACAGGGTGCGGGGGCCCCGGTGGAGGGAGAGGGTGCGGGGCCCGGCGGAGGGGACAGGGTGCGGGGCCCGGCGGAGGGGACAGGGTGCGGGGCCCGGCGGAGGGGACAGGGTGCGGGGGCCCCGGTGGAGGGATAGGGTGCGGGGCCCGGCGGGGGGGACAGGGTGCGGGGGCCCCGGTGGAGGGAGAGGGTGGTGACAGCTCCCGCCCGCAGACGGGGAGCAGCTGCGGGCGCAGGTGTCGCGGGCCGGGGTGGTGCTGGATGCCAACCACACGGTGGGCGCCCTGGCCAGCGTGCACCGCCCCGCCGGGCCCGCTGACGCCTGGCGCGCCGCCCTGCTGGTCTTCGCGAGCGACGACACCCGCGCGCACGCTAACCGCAGCGCCGCCGTGACCGTGACCCTGCGCGGGGCGCCCCCGGGCCCGGGTGAGTGCAGCCCCGGGGGCGGAGTCCGGGGGGCGGGGGCGGGACCCGGGGGTTGGGGTCCGGGAGGCGGGGGCGGGGCCCGGGGGCGGGGGCAGGGCCCAGACGGCGGGGGTTGGGGTCCGGGGGGCGGGGCGGGGCCCGGGCAGCGGGGGTTGGGGTCCGGGGGCGGGGGCGGGACCCAGGCGGCGGGGGTTGGGGTGCGGGGGCGGGGCCCGGGGCGGAGGCGGGGTCCGGGGGCGGAGCCGGGGCCCGGGCGGCGGGGGTTGGGGTCCGGGGTCCGGGGCGGGGCCCGGGCGGCGGGGGTTGGGGTTGGGGTCCGGGGTCCGGGGCGGGGCCCGGGCGGCGGGGGTTGGGGTCCGGGGTCCGGGGCGGGGCCCGGGCGGCGGGGGTTGGGGTCCGGGGTCCGGGGTCCGGGGCGGGGCCCGGGCGGCGGGCCCATTGTCCGCTCCGGCTCCGGCCCGCAGGGCTCGTGTACGTGACTTTCTACCTGGACAACCGGTGCTGCAGCCCCGACGCCGAGTGGCAGCGCCTGGGCCGGCCGGTCTTCCCGTCCCCGGAGCAGTTCCGGCGCCTGCGTGCGGCCGAGGTGGGCGGCGGGGCGGGGCGGGGCGGGGCGCCGCGCCCTCCGCCCGGGCCCTGAGCGCCCCCGCTCCGCCCGCAGGACCCCGTGGCCACCGCGCCGCGCCCGTTCCCCGCCGGCGGCCGCCTGACGCTGCGCCGCGCGCTGCCGCTGCCCGCGCTGCTGCTGGTGCACGTGTGCGCGCGGCCCGCCGAGCCGCCCGGCCAGGCAAGGGGTCCGCCTCCCCTACCTCCCCCGTCCGCCGTCCCCGCCCTCCCTCCACGTCCCCCCTCCCCCTGTCCCCCCTCCCCCGTCCCCCCTCCCCCGTCCCCCCTCCCCCGTCCCCTCTCCCCAACCCCGCCCGCCGCCCTCCTGCCCTTTACGCCGCCCCCTCTCCCCCCCCCGCAGGTGACGCGGCTGCGGACGCTGCCCTTGACCCGCGGGCAGCTGCTCCTGGTCTGGTCGGATGAGCGCATGGCCTCCAAGTGAGTGCGGGCGCACCTGCCCCCCACCCTCCCCTCCGCCCCCCGGTCCCCCACCCTCCCCTCCGCCCCCCTGTCCCCCGGCGCCTGCGCCGCCCACGTGGTCACCCCACTGTAGGCTTCACCACCCCGAGGTCAGCTTCTCCCTCCCCAGGGTGCCTGTCCTCCCAGTGGGCAGTGCCCAGGGCCTGGGAGGAGCCAGGGGGCTGGGGGCCTGGGCTCGGGAGGGCCCTGCACCCCACCACCCGGACCCCAGCCCTGTCCTCCTGCCCCCAGGTGCCTGTGGACATACGAGGTGCAGTTCGCCCCGGACGGCCAGGCGTTTGCACCCGTCCGCCGGAAGCCGTCCACCTTTAACCTCTTTGTGTTCAGCCCAGGTGAGGCCCCGCCCGCCATGCCCATGGGGGGCCGGGGCCTTGCCAAGCCTGCGGGCAGGGGGCGCCAGGAGTTGGGTGTGGGTTCAGGGGTCCCTGCTCCAGAACACGCGTGTACCTTTGTGTCCCCAGACACGGCTGTGGTCTCCGGCTCCTACCGGGTCCGAGCGGTGGACTACTGGGCCCGGCCCGGCCCCTTCTCTGACCCAGTGCGGTACCGGGAGGCCTTTGCCCCCTGAGGGCCCTGCTGTCTGCCTTTCGCCCAGGCTGACCGGGGGGCTGGACCCGCAGCAGCTGCCGTGGTCGTCAGATCTGGTCACCCTCCCTTCCGTCACTCACCCCCTCGAAGTGCCTTCCACACCTGGCCTCGGAGTGGACCTCTGGGACACGGCTGGAGAAGTCTCCCTTCTCCCCTGCCCCTCAGACCCCCCCCCCCCCCAGGGCGCCAGGCGGAGGCCCAGGCACTGCTCTTCAGCGCTCCCTGCCCAGCACCAGGGCCAGCAGGCCCCATTCCCCTCCCACCCTCTGCCCCAAGGGGGGACCCACTTCCCAAGGCCCAGCTGGGCTCTCCCTGCACCTGCCAGGTGGGGGCAGGCTGGGCGCCAGGCTGCCTGGCACAAATTGTGCCTCCCACAGGCATCCTGGTTCCCTGTCTGTCTGGGCCCAGAGGGAGACGGGAGGTGTGCTCAGGTGGAGGCAGTTTGGGGGCATCCAGAGAGCTGCGGGCAGGGGCAGGGTGGCCATGGCGTACAGGACCCCAGCCCCCGCCCCGCAGCCCCCCGCTCCCGCAGACAGAGCAGGGAGGGAGCACTGGCTGCACACCAGAGCGGGGGCAGGAGCTTGCTGTGGGCCTGGGGTCCCTGCGGGTGGAGTGCAGGGTGTGGAGGCCCGATTCCACTCCTGCCCGCCGCCCTCTGGGCTGCCCTGAGCGCAGATTGGGAGGGGCTGGGTCTGGAAGGGCAGGTGGAAGACAAGGCCCCGTCCACCGCGGACGGCCCACCCAGTGTCCATGAAAAGCTCAGCAGGGCCGCGTGGCTCGTGGTTGAGCGTCGACCTGTGAACCGGGAGACGGCAGTTTGATTCCCAGTCAGAGCACAGGCCTGGGTCATAGCCTCCATCCCCAGTGTGGGCCGTGCAGGAGGCAGCCAGTCCATGCCTCTCTCTCACCAATGTTCCTCTCTCCCCCTCTCATCCTCTCTGGTAGCAATAAAAATATATTTCTAAGAAAAGAATCGTTGTGGGCCACCAACTCCTTGTCTCGGGGGAGACACCAGTGTGGTCACGTGCCGTCTGAACCCCAAAGCCACACCGGCTCCCCATGCCCTTCCCCGGTGGATGCCTGAGGGCTCGGGGCCGGGGGGCTGTGTCTTTGTGGGACACTGTTGCCCACCGACCACTGTGACCCCATAACGAAGCCCCGTCTCAGTCGGCTCCTGCGGCCATAACAGAACACTCCCGGAGCCCTTGCTGGTCTGGCCCAGTGGATAGAGCATCGGCCTATGGACTGAAGGGTCCCAGGTTCGATTCCATCCTAGGGTGCATGCCTGGGTTTCAGGCTCCATCCCCAGGAGGGGGCATGCAGGAGGCAGCTGATCGATGATTCTCTCATCGTTGGTGTTTCTGTCTCTCCCTCTCTGAAATCAATAAAAATATATTAACACACACACACACTGCGGACTGGGTGGCGCAGACACAGAAATGGGTCTCCTGGCTCCCAGAGGCAGGAAGCCGAGACCCACGTGTGGGCTGACCGGCTCCTCGGACTCTGCCATCCCCGTGGCTGGCTGTGCGCTGCTGACCTCCACGTATGAGGACGCATCACGCAGTAGGGCCTGCTCACGATAGTCAACGCCTCTTCCGAGGCGCCGTCTGAGCAGGACGGCCCCTGGGGTGCTGGGGCAGACCTTCAGCATAGGAACTTGGGCGACACAGTTCAGCTTGCAGGTCCTGACTGTGTCCCCCGGTGTCAGGACCCATCGCCCCAAGGGCAGAGCAGAGCCTCTCGCCTGCTGGGCCAGGGGCCACCTCAGCTTCCCGCTCACGGGGAGGGGAGGGGATGGGGTTCCCTGGTGGGCCATGTCCTTCCCGGGACAGCAGGGCCTGCAAACGCGGAGCGCAGACCCCGCAGGGCAGGGAGGGGAGCTGGGCGGTCCTCCCTCTCTCCTCCCCAGCCCCACGCGCTCTGGCTTCTGTCAAAACAGCAGCGCACGTCCGTGGCTGCCCCTCGGCGTGGGTTCCGGGCCCAGCAGCTGCCCCCTGGAAGGGAAGTGGCTGTGGCTGGAGGGCAGTCATCGGCCCCGTCCCTCCGTCCCCAGGGGAAAGCCACCGTGTCCACCGGGACTGGCTCCTGTGTCGCCCGGTGGCCACCAGGCTGGTGTGCTGGTCTGGTCTATCCACCCAGCCAAAGGGGCCAGGGCTTAAGTAGCCCCCCCCCCCCCCCACACACACACACTTCTTGTGCTTACACTTTGTCGAGCTTTCTCGAACTGTGGGGTTTACATTTTTCATTACATTTGGAAAGACTCTGGTCAGTTTTCCTTAAAATAGTTTTTTAAAATATATTTTTATTGATTTCAAAGAGGAAGGGAGAAGGGGGGGGGAGAGAGAGAAGCATCCATGATGAGAGAGGATCAGGGATCGGCTGCCTCCTGCACGTCCCCTCCTGGGGATGGAGCCCCCCCACCCCCCCATCAGGCCGGACTGGGAACTGGAGGTTGTGCACCAGCGGTTTTAATCTTGCCTTGGACCATCCACTGCTGCTGGCCCCCAGCCTCCAGACTGCCCCCCTGCTCCAGCCTCGGACAGAGCCTGGCTGCCTGGGGACCTATGACAAGCAAATCAGTACTTCTAGGGGCTCCCCTGTGCCGGGCGGGGGCGACAAACGCCCTGCCATCCCCCTGGCGATTCTGCCAGACGGGGTCGCCCAGCCAGGTGCCCTGAGCCCCCGTGGAAAAGGGGGAGATTGGACGGGTTCCCCATTCCAGACAGTCGTCATGAGGGACCTCGGAGCCTGTGGGTTTCAGGGCTTCCCACAGGAAGCGGCCTCGGCCTCCACTGGGCTCAGCAGGCCGGGCGTGGGCGTGGGGCTGGGAGCCGGGGGAGCCGGGGACCGCAGGCTCAGAGCAGGACCAGCCGGGAGGGGAGCCGCCTCGCCCCGCGCCTCCACCAGGGGGCAGCGCATCACCGCGCAGGGCAGCTCTTCCCCATCACCTGCCCTGGCTGCCAGCTGCACCTGGGCTGCCACCCCACGTGGCCGCTCACCTGCTGTGACCCTCCCGGCTGCCCCCTCCACCCACTTCCTGTTCCGACCTCCCCCACGTCAGAGCCACGTCTCCACACACCTGCCCTCGGTGGCCGCACACCTGTGTGCCAGCTCTTCACGGCGGTGTCTCCGCTCAGCCCTGTCCTCCATGCCTGGGGCCTTCGAGCTGTCCTGGCCCCCCCCCCCCCCCCCCCCCCCGCTGGTGTGTCTCAGAGCCGGTGCATCTCAGAGCCGGTATGTCTGAGCCAGAGCCGGTGCATCTCAGAGCCGGTATGTCTGAGCCGGTGTATCTCAGAGCCGCTGCGTCTCAGAGCCGCTGCATCTCAGAGCTGGTGCGTCTGAGCCGGTGCATCTCAGAGCCGGTATGTCTGAGCCGGTGTGTCTCAGAGCCGCTGCATCTCAGAGCCGCTGTGTCTCAGAGCCGGTGCGTCTCAGAGCCGGTATGTCTGAGCCGGTGCGTCTCAGAGCCGCTGCGTCTCAGAGCCGCTGCATCTCAGAGCTGGTGCGTCTGAGCTGGTGCATCTCAGAGCCGCTGTATCTCAGAGCCGCTGTGTCTCAGAGCCGCTGTGTCTTAGGCCGCTGTGCGGCCTCGGGTCCCGGTGGGCCGGGGCACGGCTCCAGGCTTCCTGCCTGCTGCCCAGGTCCCCCAGCCACGTGGTCTGCCCAGGGCTCTGCTCCCCCATCCCGGGTGCTCACACTGGCCAGAGAGAGGACTTAGGAACCTGTCTTCTGTTTTCTTTTTAAAAAATGTACATATTTATTGATTTCAGAGAGGAAGGGAGGAGAGGGAGAGAGAGAGTGATGAGAGAGAACCATTGATCAGCTGCCTACTGGGGATCGAGCCTGCAATCTGGGCATGTGCCCTTGACCAGATTCGAACCCAGGACCCTTCAGTCCTCAGGCCAAAGCTCTAGCACCCCAGCTAGGGCGAGAACCTGCCGCTCACTGGCTGTGGACGGGTGGGCAGACGGGGCCTGGATGGGCCCTGACACTGCGGGCTGGACCCCCCCTGAGCTGTCCTCTGCCTGTGGCCTCCCAGCCCCCCGCTTCTCCGGAAGGCTTTCTCGGGGGGGAAGGGGGCTGAGAGGAAAGGGATAGGAGGCAGGGACCCCAGCGGAACAGCCAGGCAGAGGTCCTGGGAGGTGGAGAGGGCCGCACTGGGGGTGGGGCGAGGCCGCCGCGGGCTGGGCAGACTGGGCAGACTGGGTTAGAGGCGGCCGGGGCCAGGCAGCCGGGCCTCAGAGGTCATGGGGTTTGTGTGCTGGGCACTGGTGAGCCGCACGGAGTGAGGGCTGTGTTTAAACAGGGTGTTTGATTCCAGGGACAGTGGAGGGAAGCCAGGGGCGCCTGGCCCAGTGGTTCCAGCAGAGGGGTGGGTGGGGTGGGATGGGGTGGGGGTGGGAGCACAGGGTGCTCGCAGGGAAAGCGCCCTGGAGGAGGGACAGGGAGCTGGGCTGCAGCCCCGGACGCCCGCCCTGGCTGGGAGATGGCGGGTGCTTGGCACACCCGCTCTGGCCCGCATCGTCCCCCCAGCACCCGGATGGCACCCCGGCCTGTGGGGCGGGAGGAGGCGGGGGATGCGGGGTCCTGTGTTTCACTCCTTGTTGCTCTCAGTGGCCGGGAGGCCCCGCGCCCGTGGCGGGGCGTGGGACACACCCGCCCTCGCCCAAGGCCCCCCCTCTCCGGTGAGCCTGCCCCCCCCCCCCCGCCGGAGCCAGAACCGAGCTTGGGTGACCCCTCCGCTTCCAGCAGCTCCGGGAACGCGCACCTCCCGGCCCAGAGGCGCCCGAGACCATCCGTCCTGTTTGCCTCTCCGGGGCCGCGGGTGGGACTGGCCCGAGGTCAGCGCTCGGGGTCCCGGGGAGCGGGGTGCCCGGGGCTGGGACCCCAGACCCGGCCGGGGGTGGGTGCAGGTGCGGGGTGGGCGCCCGGGCACCTGGCGGCGAGCGGAGCTGGCGGGGGCGGAGCCCGGCCGGTGTGGGGGCCGGTCGGCCGGGAGGGGACGGCCCGGAGCGGGCCGGGCGGAGCGGGGCGGGGCCGCGCCCCGGGGGCGAAGGGAGACGCCCCGCCCGCGGGCCGCCCGCAGCCCAAGGGTTAAGCCCCGGGGCCCGGCGGGCGGGGCGGCGGGAGCGCGCGCCGATTGGCGGAAAGTTCGGGAGGGGCGGGGCTGGGGGCGGGGCGCGCGGGCCGCGGGCCGCCGATTGGCGGGAAGTTGGGCGGGGGCGGGGCGCGCGGCGGCTCGGCGCTCGCTCCGGGAGAGTTGACAAAGCCCCGCAGGGAAGGACGCCTCGCGGCCGGCGCGCCGCCCGGGCCCCTCGCCCCGCCGCCCCGGGACCGCGCCGCCCCCGCCGCCGCCGCGCCGCGCCGCGCCGCCCGGCCCGCCCGCCTCCGGCCCGGCCCCGGCCCCGGCCCGGCCCGGCCCGCGCCGCCCGCGCCCAGGTAGCGCCGCGCCGCGCCGCCCCGAGGCCGGGCCCGGGGGCGCGGGGCGGGGGCGGCGCCCGGGGCGGCGATGACCGCGCAGCGCGCCCCGCGGGCCCGGCCCTGAGCCCGCCGCCCGGAGCCCCGCGAGGTGAGCTCCCGCGCCGCGGCCCGGGGACCCTGGGGCCCAGCGGGAGGGTCGGGCGCGGGTCCGGGGCGCAGGCCCTGGGTCCGGTCCCGGTGCGGGGCGCCGGGCACTGGCACCGCCGCCGCGGCTCCGGGCCCCGCGCCCCACGTGGCCCCCGGGCGGATCTGCCCGCTCCCGGCGCAGCGATCCCGGCCCCGGCGCCGCGGTCCCGCCGGCAGGCCCGGCCCCGCGGACACCCGGACGGGCCGAGGGCGGGCGGCGGAGTCCTCGGTGGGAACCCTTTGTCTGCCCGGTGCCCGCGGCTCCCCGCCGCCCCCGCCCCGCGTGACCGCCCCCGCC